TTTTCCACTTAGTCTCCCCTCGTGCCGCGATCGAGGAAGACCAATCGGCTTAAGGTCAGGAACAAAGTCAACACAAAACTCAATTACCTCCTCATTTCCATAGCCCTTGGCGATGCTTCCTTCTGGCCTAGCACGGTTACGAACATATTTCTTTAATACTCCCATGAACCTCTCGAAGGGGAACATATTGTGTAGAAATACAGGACCGAGAATGAAAATCTCTTCGACTAGGTGAACCAAGAGGTGCGTCATAATATTGAAGAAGGATGGCGGGAACACCAACTCGAAACTGACAAGACATTGGATCACATCGTTCTGTAACCGTGGTAGATCTTCTGGATTGATTACCTTCTGAGAGATTGCATTGAGGAATGCACATAGCTTCACAATGGCTACTTGAACATTTTCCGGCAGGAGCCCCCTCAAAGCAATCGGAAGCAATTGCGTCATAATCACGTGGCAGTCGTGAGACTTCAGGTTTTGGAACTTTTTCTCCGCCATGTTTATTATTCCCTTTATATTGGACGAGAATCCAGACGGGACCTTCATACTGCTCAGGCATTCAAAAAAGATGACCTTCTCTTCTTTGGTCAGAGCGTAGCTGGCACGACCTTGAAACCATTCCGGATGCCGGTCATCAGGGTCTTTCAAACGTTGCTGGTCCTGCCGTGCTTCCTTTGTATCATTTGTCTTCCCATACACGCCCAAGAAGCTTAGGAGGTTCACGCAAATATTCTTCGTAACGTGCATCACGTCGATTGCAGAGCGGACATCTAGGACTTTCCAATATTCTAGCTCCCAGAATATAGATTTCTTCTTCCACATGGCTGCGTGCCCGTCAGCTCCCTTCGGAACTGATTGTCCGCCAGGACCCTTTCCAAAGATGACTTTCAAATCCTTGACCATATCAAATACCTCAGCACCAGTGCGTTCCGCAGGCTTCGGCCGGTGATCTGCCTTGCCGTTGTAATGCTTGCCCTTCTCTCTTACTGGATGAATTTTCGGAAGAAATCGACGATGCCCAAGGTACACGTTCTTCTTACAATTTGGCAAATGTACACTTTCAGTCTCATGTAAGCAGTGCGTGCATGCATTGTATCCCTTATTTGACAGTCCCGAAAGGTTACTAAGAGCAGGCCAATCGTTGATGGTTACGAAAAGCAACGCTCGTAGGTCAAATTCCTCTTGTTTGTGCTCATCCCACACACGGACACCACCCCACAGCTGTAAAAGTTCATCAACTAATGGCCTTAGGTACACATCGATGTCGTTGCCGGGTTGCTTCGGACCTTGGATGAGCACTGGCATCATAATGAACTTCCGCTTCATGCACAACCAAGGAGGAAGGTTGTAGATGCATAGAGTAACGGGCCAGGTGCTATGGCTGGAGCTCTGCTCGCCAAAAGGATTCATGCCATCCGTACTTAGAGCAAATCTTATGTTCCTTGCGTCAGCTGCAAAATCTTTGAACCATCTGTCGATCTTTCTCCATTGCGTTCCATCTGCGGTGTGTCTCAACTCCCCGTCCGACTTACGGTCCTCTTTGTGCCATCGCAACAACTTGGCATGCTCTTTGTTCCTGAACAGACGTTTCAACCGTGGTATTATAGGAGCATACCACATCACCTTGGCGGGAACCCTCTTCCTGGGTTTCTGGCCCTCAACATCGTCACCAGGGTCATCACCTCTGATCTTATAACGCAATGCAGTGCATACCGGGCATTCATTCAAATTCTCGTATTCACCGCGGTAGAGGATGCAGTCGTTGATGCATGCATGTATCTTCAGAACCTCTAAACCTAGAGGGCAGACAACCTTCTTTGCTTCGTACGTACTGGCGGGCAACTCGTTATCCTTTGGAAACATATTCTTCAACATTTTCAGCAAGTTTTCAAATGCCGAGTCAGCTACACCTGCCTCTGCCTTCCATTTCAGCAAATCCAGTGTGCAGCCCAGCTTTTTCAGACCATCATCGCATCCGGGGTACAGCGCCTTTCTGTGATCCTCTAACATGCGATCCAAATTCTCCCTCTCATTTTCAGTTTCGCAGCGTCTCCGTGCATCAGCAATGGTCCGACCAAGATCATCAACGGGATCATCACGTGCCTCTTCTTCACCTTCCCCTTCACCTTCAGCATCCTCCATGAAAGTATCACCGAAATGAGCAAGATAGCTTTCATCGATGAAATCATCCCCTTCTTCATCTTCTTCCATTATAACCCCTCTTTCTCCATGCTTGGTCCAACAATTATAGCTTGGCATGAAACCGTGCCGAAGCAGATGCATGTGAACATCTCTTGAGGAAGAGTAACCCTTCTGATTCTTACAGATAACACATGGACAGATAACAAAACCCCCCTGCTTGTTCGCATTAGCCACTACGAGGAAATCTTTCAAACCCGTAGTGAACTCGCCGGAGAGTCGGTTACCGTACATCCATTGCCGATTCATCTGCATTATTATAATATAAAATATATAATTAACCATCATGCATTTGTTAAACTAACTAGCTACAAACAATATAAATTAAAGAATGAACTGCACACATGCATATTTTATCAATGACACATCAAAGGTTCATCAAGTTGCTAACCGCGATCGAGGAGTGTGGCTCCAACACTTCATGTCATGTTTGTTTCATGCTCTTGGGGCATTTCATCAAACACCTTATGTGCATAAGAGGAACCAAAAGCAAACCTACACCCACTTGTGAAGAGAATGGCTCCAAATGGCTAAGTGTTGGCTGCTGGATGGGTATATATAGGGGAGGGGCTTTAGTTGCGGTTGGCCTGGCAAACCGTGACTAAAGGTGCCCGAAGGCCTTTAGTCGCGGTTGTCCTGGCCAACCGCGACTAAAGACCCTCACGTGCGCCAGCTGGCCACCGAGCGCCCTGGGCCCAGGCCTTTGGTCGCGGTTCACCTCCAGAACCGCGACTAAAGGTCCCATTAGTCGCGGTTCCTACAGCTTCGCGACTTATGGGGCTGGACGGAAGCCTGTTTTTCCACCAGTGAGCGGCGCTCGACGGCGGAGAGGCGTCTGGCCATGGCAGAAGATGAGCCGCGACGGCATCGGAGGTTGGAGACTGCTTCCTGTGGCGGCTCATGGTTGCGCGAAATACACGATGCCTGCTGGGGTGGCGGTGGGCAGCCGCGACGGGAGCTCGGCGGCGGCGAGTTGGAGTCGTCGAGGGGCGGCACGAGGGAGGACGCGGGGTGCGCTGCGGCGGTGGTTAGTGGAGGAGAATGGTCGTGGGGCTCGGGACTGGATCATATTTGTTTTTCCTTTTTTTTTCCAGCAGAGAGATGGACCGCGTTGAGATTGTCGTGGGCTGTCGCGTAGCGCGGCCGCTCGATCTTCCCAAATAGTGCGCGTGCACTATTAAGATTTTAGGGAAAATTAAAGTCTGCGCTGGGTCTGTTGTTGGGTCAGCGATCTCACCACCGAGTTGTATATGAGTTGACCTGGTCACACACACATACACAGTCAGACAGCGGTCTGCCTGGACCAGCACGATCAGTCAACCCTCTGTCCCCACCCAAATCGAACCTTCCCTGAGACCTTGTGACGGGAATGGCGGCGCCGGCGAGCCCTGGCGAGGGCATGGACGTGGAGGTGGAAGCCTTCCTTGCGTCCTCCGCAGCGTCCGCGTACGGCGCAGCCGAGGCCCTGCTCCAGCGCCTCGACGCCCCCGCCTCCCGCGCAGCCGCACGGCGCCTCCTCGGCGCCGTGCGCCGCCGTTTCGCGGATCCCGCCGCCGGACAGGACTACGTCCGCGCCTTCAACTTCCGCATCATCCCCGACGACCCGCACCTACAACAACAAGGTCCTCCCCTCTCCTCCCTTGGCCACTTGTCGATTTACTTACCCGTGGTCAACTCTGTGAAATTTACAGAGAGAATTATACGTTTTTTTCTTTCTTTTTTCTATTGAGGCGAGGGATGATTTTATTTAGTTTACTGTATTATATATATACTGTCTGCTGAGAAACTTCTTCTGATTTCTTTGTTTTTGGGGGAAGCAATCCTGCCTGACCTATCATCGTAATTAAATAAGAATGATGAACAGCATTAAAATGTTGTATGTGGATCTTTGTACCTCCCGCAACAAGTTCAACTTACAAGACTATTACTTACAGTGCATTTTCTCCTGACTGAGTTTGCTATGTGTATTATGTATTATAAATTATTATCTGTTTCATGTGTTGTCTTTGTTTGACACAATGGTAAACAGTTCCACTGTTGTTTGATAACAATGATGGACTTATTTGCTTCTCATGGCTTGATGGATTTACCAACTGCTTCTAGGATTTCAGCAAATAACAACGATCGAGATGCCTGGCATTTTTGTTCCTTGCTCTGCCGCGTTCTACGAGGGCCTCGGACAGCAACCGGACTCCATTTTCAGAGACAAGACAGTGGCAGAGCTGGGATGTGGCAACGGATGGATGTCCATTGCGCTTGCACAAAGGTGGTCTCCTTTCAAGGTTGCTATCTCTTCTTCTGTCGCTCGATACTTTATCTTGTTCCTAGTGTGTTAGACAAGTGGGAGTCGTAGCAGTTAACATCTTTACTCAGGTTTCATGACTTTTGGCCCATAGTCAGTGTCCTTTGAAAACAAGGGGATGACAAGTTATATTTTTGGGATTTTGTCAGAAAACGAAGCTGAGCATTTTTTATTTCTTCCCAGGTCTATGGTCTGGATATAAACCCAAGAGCTATCAAGATTGCAAGGATAAACCTTTACCTGAACGCACTAGACGATGATGGTCTACCAATCTAAGACGGGGAGCGGAAAACTTTGCTTGACAGAATTGAGTTCCATGAGTCGGATCTTCTTTCTTGCTGTAGAGACAGCAAGATAGAGCTTGATTGCATTGTTGGATGCATACCACAGGTATGGTCAGCTGTTAACATCTTTGGTGAAAGCAAGTTGTTGCAGACCAGATTTGAAGAAAAATACTTTATCTGTTTTTCAGGTTCTTGACCCCAATCCAGAGGTGATGCCAAATATTAAAATTAATAATTCAAGTGAGGAGTTCTTGTACTCTCGGTGCTACTACTGTGCCTTTCAGGTCAGTTGAGAGACATCTTTTATGTGTCCAAAAAATGCGTTGACATGTGATTAGTTCTCCACACGAATGACTGCTGGACTATGAAATTATTAGTATCTGTAATATTCACTTATGATCTCTTAGATACAGAAGTTTTGATGCTTTTGTGAATGACACATAGGTCCACTCAAGTCAGTATGTCTTATGATTGCTGTGTGCTGTTCCAATTTCCTTTTTTGGGGGGTTTGTTGTGCTTTTAAACTTATTGCATATTTTACTGCATACAGGGTGTTGCTGAGGACCAATTTGGCCTTGGGTTGATTGCTCGTGCAGTTGAAGAAGGGATAGCTCTCACAAAGCCTATGGGTATCATGATATTCAGCATGGGAGGCCGACCGGGTCAAGTTTTATGTGAACGCTTATTTTTACGCCGTGGATTTCGCATCAATAATCTCTGGCAATCAAAACTTATGCAGGTGAGGGTTCTATGACAGACCAGGTGTTGATTAACCAGCAAATCTTCTGTATGCCAGCATGTCCTTATTTGGTCAACGATATGCAATTCGAGTTGCATTATACTAGCTTTCAATATTTACAGCAGTAGATTACAATGGCATTTTTATGTAGCATCATTACCAAGTAGGTGGGTTCTTTGCAGGCTGCCGACACAGATCTTTCGGATTTAGTTGAAATCGAGGAAAATAGCCCACATCGATTTGAATTCTTTGTGGATCTTGGTGGGGATCAACCTATCTCCGCACGCACAGCCTGTGCATACATGAAATCTGGTGGCTGCGTTTCACATGCTTTGTCTATGTATAGTTGTCATCTTCGCCAGCCCGACCAGGTTCGTGTGTGTTCTTTTTAAATTTATCAAATTATAAAATATAAGGGAGGGGAGATTATTAATGTGGAGAATTTTCAGGTGAAGAAAATATTTGACTTTCTTAAAGATGGATTCCCTGAAGTCAGCAGCTCCCTGGATTTGTCCTTTGATGACAATTCTGTTGCTGATGAAAAAATATCCTTCCTAGCATACCTAGCTAGCTTTTTGAAAGAGAACAAGTCCAATCCTTGTGAGCCTCCAGCTGGATATTTAAACTTCCGGAATCTTGTTACTGGATTTATGAAGGCTTACCACCACATCCCGTTAACTCCTGATGTAATACTTTTTTTCCTTCACAGTTATGCCTGTTTATACTAGAAATTCGTATGACTGACTTGCTTGTTGCATCTATCTTATGCTTCATATCATACTCATTTTTCTTTTCTGGTGCACCAGAATGTTGTTGTATTCCCTTCTCGTGCTGTAGCGATAGAAAATGCTCTTCAGTTGTTCTCGCCGGCGCTTGCAATTGTTGATAAGCATCTGACCAGACACTTGCCTAAACAATGGTTAACATCTTCAACAATTGAGGTACTTTGCTCTGCAGCTAGCTTGTGCATTTGAGACAACACTTCTCTGGCGACACATGTCTTTTCCGTGAAGAAAAATAATGGTGACAAGAATGCTGAAGCTACTGCTTTGTTTTTTTTTTTCCAGGAAAGAGCAGATTGTACCGAAGCTGAAAACATAGTAACTGTAATTGAATCACCACGCAAATGGGACTTGCTGATTGAGTTTATCAGGAAACTGAAGCCTCAAGTTGTTGTTACTGGCATGGCTCAGTTCGACGCTATCAGGACTGCTGCTTTTGTGAACTTGCTAAACGTAACGAAAGATGTTGGTTCATGGTTATTCCTGGATATTTCAGAACATCTGGAGTTGTCTCGTGTGCCAAGCTCGAATAGTGTGTTGCGATATCTTGCTGGAAACACCCTACCTTCGCATGTAGCTATACTGTGCGGTTTAGTAAAGAATCAGGTGACATTCAGTGAACCTACAATACCATGTTATATTGATCAGCTTGGAATTTTATTTCAACCTTTTTGTATTCTTATATCTTACTTTGGAAACACGGTCTAAATGTTTCCATTTGGTTTATCTTGCAGGTTTATTCTGATCTGGAAGTTGCTTTCACCATTTCTGAACAGGCGGCTTTCTGCGAGGCATTGTCACAAACTGTTGAGCTATTGGAAGGGCACACTTCTGTGATCAGCCAGCAGTATTATGGCTGTCTTCTCCATCAGCTGTTAGCATTTCGAATTTGCGAGCCGCATGCACAGCAAGAGGTAACAGAACTTGTCTCCAATTACCCACGTCACTCATCCGCATGGCGACCATTAGTCAACTTCAGCTACTTTTCGTTTTAAAATTTTGGAGTGGATCCTCCTTGATTGGATAAAACCTACTGACATGAACAGCTAAATGTATTACTAGGACGTTTTAATTTGTTTTCATCTTATTATTCTGAGTAAAAATGATAATATGGCCAGGGATCTATGGAGTATCACTCTTCACAAAAAGTGTTGCCTGTGCAATATTTTGTGGCCCTATTGTGTACTTTGGTTCGTTGTCTTCTAATTTTTCCTCGCTATATTTCAGAGACGACCTGCATTAGTGCTGCCTCAGAGGATGATAGGATTCTCTAATTCTGCCATATCTGCCATAAAAGAAGCTGAATTTTCCCTTCCCGATTCCAAGGAATCTTGTGTCATTCATATGGATTTAGATCGGAGCTTCTTGCCAATACCTTCTGCAGTGAAGGCCTCCATTTTTGAAAGCTTTGCTAGGCAGAACATCATGGATTCTGAAACTGATGTTCGATCCAGCATTCAGAGGCTGTTGAAACGTAACTATAATTACCCAGTAGACTCTGATTCTGACATTATATATGGTAGTACCAGTCTGGCACTCTTCAACAAGCTTGTTCGTCGCTGCGTGCAAGAGCGAGGCATCTTTGTTTTCCCCTTGGGAACCAATGGTCATTATGTCTTGGCAGCAAAGTTTCTGAACGCAAACACCCTGACTATTCCAACAAAATCAAGTTCAGGCTTTAAGATCGAACCAAGTGCTCTAGAAGACACACTTAATAACAAGGAACCGTTTTCGCGGGCGTGGGTGTATATTTCTGGCCCCACAATCAACCCTTCTGGTTTCCTGTACAGTGCCAAGGAGATAGAAGAGCTGCTTTATATCTGTGCTAGAAATGCAGCTAGGGTAGTCATAGATACCTCCTTCTCTGGTCTGGAGTTCCAAACCGATGACTGGCCCTTCCCTGGTGTCCAGTTCCCATTCAATCGCTGGCCTTGTTGGGATTTAGAAGGATGTCTTGACGATATGGCTGGCCATGTTGCCCCTGTTTATCTGCTCGGAGAGCTATCGCTTGAGCTGACCATCGCTGGGCTTAAATTTGGGTTTCTCATCTCGAAAGACCGGTCCTTGGAATATAGTTTCCCAATCTTGAGTCAGCCACATAGCACACTGAAGTACACTTTCAGAAAATTGTTGGGTCTCAAGTACGAGTTGGATGAGCATTTCTCTAATCTCATTGCGGAGCAAAGGGAGACACTGAAGGGTCGTGCCAACCACTTGATGAAGGTTAGCCTTTTGTAACATTCTCTACTCTCCTCTCAGTTTTATTTCATCGATGATGAGGTGTGTTCCCTTCCAAAACCCAGATCATGGAGAAATCTAAGTAACTGTAGTTTGTTTTGCCAATCAGTGCATCTGAACATTCCGTGCTATGAAATATTTGACTAAGACTGGATTTCATTCCACTTTCCTATTTCTGAACAACACAAGGATTTCCTGTTTCCCCGATCCACCAGCTACGTTCGCACACTTCCAAATAGTAAATGCTCCCGCGGTTGGAGTTGAGACTTTCTTATCCCTCTTGTTACGACGGATCGAGCATATTTCGCAAATAAATAAATGATATAACTTCAACTAGGTAGACATGCACCTTTTGAGCAGTATGCAAATTTTGAGTCAAGTGTTGTGAAATTGTCCGGTCATATCTGACTACTTTCCCCCCTTTGTTTTCTTTTCTGCTATGAACAGACACTCGAGAACTGTGGCTGGGATGTTGTTGGTTGTCATGGTGGTATCTCGATGCTGGCCAAACCAACCGCCTACATTGGCAAATTATTCAGGGTCAACTGTTTCGAAGGCACGCTCAATGGTTGCAACATCAGGGAGGCGCTTCTTAGATCCACTGGATTGTGTATAAGCAGCAGCACATGGACCGGGATAACAGACTACTGCCGGTTCAACTTTGCCCTCGAGAGTGGTGAATTCAAGCGGGCAATGGATTGCATAACTCGGTTCAAGGAGTTGGTTCTGGGAGGCTCAGATGAATCGTAACAAGTGCTTTCATCGTCGTGGGAAGTAACAAGGATAAAACCTACAAATGCGACGGCAGCTCCAATTTGGCACCACAATCCATAATAAATGTGCCTTTTATGAGAGAAATCTCCTCTGTTTCTTTTGTGACTACCTTGTCTTCTCTGAGATTAGGACCAAAATCTTTAACGACATTAATGTGCGACTTGATTAAACTATTCATTGGTTCAACTTTCTTGTTTTTTTTGTTAGATTCTGACTTTTCACCACTTGCTGCAATTTCTATTGTGGATACGGTAATGGTGGAATATATTTAAGCATTTTTCCTGCATACTTTACCATAGATACTTGGATACTCTCATTTGGTGGCATTTCATATCGTACCCATTTCTCTTTTTGTACATATGCTCTGTGTAAACTTTAATAATATATGTAAAACAACGTCTGAATCAATATAATAATCTCCCCTCATCTCCAAAATTTTATCGGAGTAGCAGGAGAAGGAATTAATATGCCGCAGAGAAGTGCATATTTTCAACCTGAACTCTAGGGCTAGTGTCATTTATAACCCTAAACTATGAAATCACAACACCTAGTCAATATTGATGGTCCCACATGCCATAGTAAACATATATTTTTCCTCGTCCGGCTCTTTTTAGCAGTAGCAGCTCGATGGACAACCCGCATCTCCGCCCATCCATGTCGTGCTTTCGGGTTGACCAACCTCTGCCTCATCCTTTTACCGAACACTCCGCAGCACTGTGGAGAGGCTCGGGCTTGAGGTTGTGGCCATCGGATTTGGAGAAGACTGCAACACCAAAGTACACGGGTGGTTGTGCAGTTGTGGTGAGGGTCCTTGGTGCGGTGGGGCACCATGTCACTTTGGCCCCTACACGAGAGCCTGCGCTTGCTCTGACCAAGAATGTGCCCAAGGCAGACAAGAGCAGCGGGCATAACCCTTTTCTGTTACCTGAATGACGAAAACACGAAACAGTTAGTCCAACAAGAGTTTAAGGAGACTGGAAACGGGAAAGCAAGTTCAAAGCATCGACAGAAAACCCACCACAAGTGCTCTTCATTGAAACACTTGATATGGGGCGAAAACCCATCAACACCTAGCTAGCTCGACTAAACGTAACAATATCGAACGGCTCACACACAATCTAATGGGGTTCAACAGGCTCACACAGGAGCAACATAAAACAAACCAAAGGTGATTAGCTCGCCCAAAATCCCCAGCAAGTGCAGGAGGGTGGGGGAGGGTGAGCTGACTAGATCATCCCAACACCGTCGACCGCAACGCAAATCCTCATCATGTTGGTCGCATTCTCCTTGAGCATCATCACACCACACTCCATGGCTTCACGGTCACCAACTTTCAGCAAACCTGCCCAATATTTGTAAAAACACAAGAGGAGAAAACAATTTCAAAAGGGGAACCTGCGAAGTTTGAACTGGAAGGTAGCACAGTTACGACAGTTCTATATCGCCCAACATATGCATCGAGGCAAATAGTCAGGAGGAAATACATAGCGCCAGGAGTAAAATTGCCACAGGTTGTTTGGACATGTGCTTGTCCCGAAGACCTATCCCATAGTACGCCAGATCACTCTGGCAACCGGGCAACGAAAGAAAAGATGCTGGAAAGTCTGTTCTCTCATTGCAAAAAGAGAATTTAGGGTTCCCAGCCCAATTCCTTCTTTCATGACATCCCTCGTTAACATAACATCTTGAAAATGTTGCTAGAAAAAAACTCAATTTTCAAAGGAATTTTTGCCTTCTAGATCCATCAGAAATTACAACCAGCCAAATTCTTTTCAAAGTGTTCAGACATAGATTTAGTAGAAAATTTATGCTTTGGCACAAAGGACCAGCCAATCTGATCTGGTTCAGAAGAAAGGTTTAGATTAGAAACGAAGGAGCAAAGGTCATTCCATTGCTTAGTAAGACAAAGATGAAGGCATCTGCGGAAGAACTCCAGGACCGTTTGCCATTTGTCCACAGTGATATATTGCATATTACAAATGCTAAAGAGTTCAGAAAATTTGGTGTACATGGGAGGACTATCATGGTGGAGTGGGTCTTTCCAAAGCCTAGCAGCATTGCTAGCAGGCCATACGGGGCACCTGTATAGGGTGTGCCCGTGCACAGGGACGAGACTTGCCTGCTCCCCGGGCGTGCGCCCATCCGTGCTCCCGCGTACGTGGCTTGATTTGATTGGAACAAAATAAAGCCCGGCCCCATCCCTTTAAAATCAGGGGGAGATAATTAGATTAGCAAGGAAAAAGAAAAAAAAATAGCCGTAGAATGAAGTGGGAGCACGGATGGAAGCATGGGGAGGGAGCAGGCAAGCCGGATCCCATGCACAGGGCCTCCAAGCCAGCGGGGCCCCCAAATCACGGGTGTATGTATTGGGTATTAGTTCGTAAGGAGAGGGTTGAAAAATCAAAGAAGGGAACGCACTACTCTCCAAGCGATCATTTAGGGCATCTCTAACCCCAACTCCCAAATTTGCTACGGCATCCATCCGGAGACAAAGGGGACCAGTCCGCGGACACTTATGTGAGAGCTGGATATCCAATACCCGCATACATTCGACCCTGGTTTTTTAAAAAGCCCGCACACTCAAGTGGTCGCGTATATAATCCAGAATAGTTCAAATGTTCAAACACAAGGTAATTCTAATTAAATAAGTTCAAATATTACACTCTAACATTGTTTTCCCCTTTAATCACCCACAAATTCTCAATCACCAGATTTGTCTTCAGTTACTCGTGAGTTGCTCGGTGACGAATTTGTTGATGCATTTGTACAAACTCTTCAAATGTGGCCGAATTCTGGTTGGGAAGTTTGATAGGATCATTCATGTTCTCAAATTCAAGACTTGTGGCAGCATCGTCATCCTCATCCTTCACGATCATGTTGTGCATGAGCATACAACAGGTCACCACCTCCCACAAGGTCTCCGCATCCCATTGTTTAGCTAGTCCGCGAACAACTACAAAATGTGTCGGCAGAACTTCAAATGTCCTCTCAACATCCTTTCTAGCAGATTCTAGTCTTTGACGAAGTGAGCCTTTTTCTGACCAACTGAGTTATGGAAAGGTGTTGAAAAAGGTAGCTCACTAAGGATAGATCAGGTCTGAGCACAGAGGCGTGCAACCTGTGTGGGCGCACACGGCCACCAACTTTTGGGGGCCCCAAGTTTTGCACGCATTATAGATGGGCCTCTTCCGGTCTTCCGCTTGGCTCTGTTGCCTAGCACCGATCGAGCGCACGTGAAGCAGCCCGATAAGGACGCACACCTCTTCCAGCGATCGATCCTAACGAGTTGAGCGAAGCCACCGAAGAGACGCATCTCTTCCTCAATCGCCGGTCTCTGGCGGCCATCGACGCGACAGGTTAGGGCTCCTCCTTGATAGTACTTGCTCATGAGTCAGGACTCAAGAATAAACTCATATGTTCTTGAATCTTGATGGCTTGCATCAGGTCTCAATGAGGAACGGCGGCCCGTGCCGGTAGGGATGAGCCGAAGGCGAGGAGAGTTCAAGCCATCTCCCGATCTCTAATTTCTTAAGTGTCGTCATGTCGATAACCAGCAATCTTGTCAGGACTTGACTAATCTCTTACTCCCTCCGTCTAGGTGTGTAAGTCACCTTACGAAAACCAAATAATCCTAAAACACTTAGACACGGTACATTAGCTCCCTCCTCGTTTCTTGTTTTGTGACATATCAACCAATAAGAGATGTAGACGTGCATGCTTTCAATAACTTGAGACTATCAAACATGACATGCAGTGGTTAGTTCATTGCATGCAATGCTATTAATTAGCAAAAAGACATTAAGTTTTTTCGTTTTTCTCTCAGCCTTGGTCGTGGTGCATAACGTAAGATGACTTACACACCTAGACGGAGGGAGTACCTAAGTTTTTTTTTCATCTAGTAAGCATCTGACGCTCATTCCAATGAATTGTATGTGGAGTTATGTTTCTTCAAAATTTCATTCCAAACGAAAAAAATTGGGCATGTTGAATTCTAAAGTTCTTAAATCACAATTGTTTTCCCAATGCAAGTATTGCATATTGAGTTATGTTGACCACCCCCATTACTGTTGCATCAGAGGAACATAGCTTTTCTTAATTGAAGCTATTGAAGTTCTATATGTGCACTACCATGAACAAAGACTGATTTGGCTACAATAGCACTTGAGAGTGAAGTATTGGAAAAGATTGATTATGGGGATATTATTGAAGATATTATTTAAATGAACACTAAAAGAATGATGCTATTAATGTAAAGATTGAATAGGTACGATCATGATATTTCTCATTGTTATGTAAGATATTATGATCTTTATGTTATTATAGTTATGTTTATGTACTTTTCAGTGAGATAGGGCCCATCTTAGAGTTTGGCACAGGGCCTCGGAGTTTGCCTACCCGACCCGGGATAGATACCGTCGAACCGATAGTAACCCATGTTGTACTCATGCACATTGACAGTATAGTGGCAAGGGGGAGCTCTTCCTTCAGTCGGCCTAGCAAACAATGGTGATCGCTGCAACACATTGATGTCACTGTAAGACCCGGGCATGCCAAAGAAAGCGTGCCAAATCCAAAGATCATGTGATGCAACTGCTTCAAGAATGATGGTGTGCGTCTTAACATGATCCTGAGTCCGTGATATTTCCCTTGCAAATATTTTGGGTAGTTCTTCCATTTCCAATGCATGTAATCAAAGATCCTAGTAAACATGACCACCCTCTTGCTTCCAAGATTGCCAAGAGCCTCTCAGTGTATGTGATATTTGGCTCTCTTGGGTATTGAGGTCCAAACACCGAGACCATGATAGTTGCAAACCTGACCATGGCATCTCCACATGTGCTCTCAGACATCCGTCGGTACTCATCCTATGAATCAGCGGTCGTGCCATATGGAAGCATCCATAGTGTGGCCATGAACTTCTGGTAACCAGAGAACCCAATCTTTCCCAAGCCGCCCTTCTTCAAGATCAAGTAGCC